CGTATGAGTATACGTTGCCCAGGGTGCACCACGTGGACGTGAGTCTATCGCGCACCCCACATAATTAAATATAAACTTGACGCAAACATATTTAACAACTAAAAGATCTGAATTTTAATAATAAGAGAAAGTCAGTAAAATTTAAAGATTGAGAACTAATATTTGGAAAAAGGCTTTTTTGAGATGGGCACTAATTTGTCATGCATTAAATTATACATATTTGTTCAAGTAATTTTTAAAAGATTTTTAACAGATTTTAACTTATTCTAATGTATTGGAACAAAGTCGCAAGTTTTGAACCCAAAATATATACAATTTAAACAATTCAATTAATTTTTTTAGTAAATTAGCCTGCCTACATAGATTTAAAGGTAATGATAAGAAAATTTATTCATTTGAACAAAATAGTTTTTTGTCATATATTTCTTTACTCGTTTTATTTCCATACTGGTTTCAAATAAATATCGAATGCCTAAATCAGTTTTTAAATTTTTTCATAATATTTAATGTATTATTACATTTTCATTGTATTTATACGTGTCTGCAAGACGGTAAAAATCTGAGTTAGTTGTTGGCTGTATATTATTTGCGAACCTACAATCTATCAGGTAATTTGCTATGAGTTATGACAGTCTAATAGAGATACATTTATGCGTTTGAACGTATATATTTTGTTGATGGGAGGTCTGGATGCTTTTTCAGTTACAATTTCTTTCAGAATCTTTTGTTGGCTAGCAAGGTTTGCCCAAAAAGTCGATCACTTTACTCTCTTCACTTCAAAATTTGAATTGAAAGCAATTATTTGACCTACTGTCACTCTCCTCAATAAATAACTTTTCAATTTTTAAAATTCCTCTGGAAACAAAGATTAGTTGTCTCTAAATGATATTATCAAAATATTTACATTCTCATTTTTTCACATGGAAGGCAACTTTGTTTCTTTAAAACTGTTCAAAATTTATTAATGTAAATGCTGGAATCATATTTGAGCTTTCCCTACGATGTATTTCCGCGTAATTTAAAAGATCCATTGAAACCAATGAATTACACCTTCAAAAGCCAATCATAACGTTCACTCTCTCTCTCTCTTTTCATTAATTCAATAGAGACGGATCCGGTCGAACAGGGACTTTTATCTGTATAAATGAACTTTTGGACGTTATTCGAAAGGATAAAATCGGTGCCAACATTCCTTTAGCTCAATACACCCTAAAGGTGGCCACTGCCAGGCCTCAAATGATTGATAGTGTGGAGCAGTACACATTCATCTACACAGTTCTCGCAGAATGGGTTAGATCCGGTGGAGAAACAAGTATTCCCCTAACCAAACTTCCCGAAGTTGTACACCAGTTGCATAAGCCTCTAAGATCTGGATATGGGACTGGAAATTGTTCTTCCAAGTATGAGGCCGAACTTATGGTAAGAATTTGTATTCCAAATCCACTTGGTGACATTTTACACACGCAAGCCAATTGAATCGCTTTTCATCGCACCTGTAGTTTACCTTGAGTGGAGTTAATAAACCTACCTAACCCATCAGCTACTTGATTGAGATGGCAAAAAATTTCTGAAATGTTTGACCACCTATTTAAAGTGATTGAGTGATCAATTCAAAATGCAATGTGATAAAAAGCTTTAAACTATGAATAAAAAAATTGTGGAATGATCTATTGTGTGAAAATAAAAAAATATACATATTAATGTGTATTTCCCTGAATTGGGACTACCACTTTTGCCCAATTTCCCGATACCTTTTAAATATCAAAAAAGGAAATATTTTAAATCTTATATAAAAGAATTTTATTTCCAATGGATTTTGCATTTTTATTAGCGTGTGATCAATTGCTATCAATAAGATGTGATTAAAAAACTTACTGAGTTGTCGTATATAAGTATTGCTTACTTTATTATTGAAAATGATCAATTACAAATATGAAATAATATCATATACGATATATCACATATTATCTCTCTGCATTTTGTAAGTCGAGCAAATCACAAGTAATGAAATTAAATTTTAAGTGGAATGGTGGAAATAATTATAATTTAAATTCTGGAAGAAAAATTAATAGAAATTATTTTAACTTTTGCAAGCAAATGCAAGTATTTCGCTTACTTAGATTTAATTTCAGTTATATCTTGTTTGCCATTTTAATATTTATATATTTTATATTACCATATTTATATAATATTGTGAAATTACACATACAAATAATCTTGCTTCAAAGTTATTGAAAGAAAATATCCACTTTTTTGGTTGTCAAAGGAGTACTAATTAATTATTTATAAGTTGGATACATTGTTTTATACTCAATGACAGGTACTTATGACTTGCATAACAGAACAAAGCAAGAAGGAATTTAAGCAAGGTGACATCGTCTTTGAGTTATTGCAATACAACCCCAAGGTCATTGTGCAGATTTGTTTTACTGGTTAACGAGAGGTTGCTGATTCAATGCCATATTGACTGAGTTCCCAGTTGAGAGTTACTGGCACATTTTTTTAAAAGTGCTTTCCAAAATGAACTCTTGAATTTTCTGCTCTCATGGCAATTGCTAATCAATACGTGATTATGCGTTATGCTGATATTCTGGCTAAAAGAATTCATTGATAATCTTGTGTAAATAAAAATTTTACGAAATGAGAATTTGGTCTTTTTTAAATTTTGAGTTGATTATATTTATTTAGTCAAATCAAATGGCAGGCGTTTCGATAATTATCATTAGCCCTTTAACTGACTTTGGGCTCCGCCGAGATGGGGATCTTCAAAGACAAAAAAAGTCGAGAGGAGGGGGGAGGGGGTTATAGAATAATTATTCATAGACAGACAGGCACAAAGAGTGAACTGGCCAAATATGTCAAACAGTCGGGTAATGGTAGATTGAAGTCAGAAGTGAAATGCTGGTTTATGGACCTTTTAACCGTTCGAATATACCTTTCCCAGGGTGCTCCATGTGAATGTAAGTCTATCGCACGCACCATGCCTCAATTTTAAACCCCATGAACATGAGATTATATTAGATTTTATATTTTTCACTATAGGAGTGGCACCAAAAGCACAGACTTCATTTTTCAAATAAAGATTGTACATTTAAATCTAAATTTCACAATTTGCCAAAAAGAGGAACATTTTTGAATTTCTCTGCAAAATATTTTAATTAGACATGTATTTGAAGCACAGTTATTTCAACGTCGTCGACATATTTAAAGATGTTTCTTTAAATTTAAGATTTCCTTTTCGCACTATTCAACGATAATAATTTATTTCAAATGGCAGGCGTTATGATAGGTATCATTAGTCCTTTAGTTGACTTTGTGCTTTACAGAAGGGAAGAGGAACACCAAAGTGGCAAAATGTCGAGAGGGGGGACATAATAATGATTCACAGACGTAAAAGAGACAGGCACAAAGGTAGAAAAAAGGTGAGTACTGTGGAATTAGTCGAATATGAAATGCGGTGAGGTCTTGGACTGTTTACTTAGTCGAATATGAAATGCGGTGAGGTCTTGGTAGTTTGAAGTCAGAAGTCAACTACCGATTAATAGATTTTTTTGCCGTATGCATAAACGTTGCCCAGAGTGCACCACGTGGAGGTAAGTCTATCGCACACCCCAAGATAATAATTAAATATAATATAAATATAATATCGAAAGTAAGCTAAAAGTATTATATCATAATTTTATTTTAAGAATAGAAATAAATTTTTTATTTAACATTTATATTTCTCCTTTTATTTTGGTGATTACCTTCGTCCAATAATTTATTGTTAGTCAAATTAAAGTTATTTGACCAAAATGATCAGTTGCTTAGTATGTAAGTTTGTGTGGCCTTCTGAATTCCTCCATTATAATTATGGCAATTGGAATTGTAGAGCCGAAATGTTCTATATAATTATCTGAAGAACTTTATTTTGCGAAAATAAATTTTTCGTCCATTTTCAGTAAATATGTAAGTTAACTTTTTTCCTCACTGCGTTGCCTCACGCGATAATTTATAATTAATGAAGGCGATTTTAGCTTCAGAGTGTTTATTTTGAGTTTTAAATAACTTCAATAATAGCTTCTTTTGTACCAGTTGCGTTACAACTGTGTATAACGCAATAGCATGTTTTAGAAAGTTACTTTTCAAGAGCATTTCGTGAGCTCTTGAAAATGCCTAATATGGATGTTTCCAAGAGTCACTCCCATAGGAAACTTGCAATCCCTTTGCTCTTCTCTTCACCAAAACTTAACAAATGATGCATAGCATTGCGCTATTAAGCTTTAAGGATTATTGAATACTCCTAATGTTCGATTTACCTAGGTTATGCAGATTTTGAACTAATTTGACCTTGATCAAACCCGATTTCACCCATGTATCTTTTTTGTGTTATGGATAGGAATAAGTGTTCGGTGAGAAAAGACAGTGTCAATGGCATGTTATTTAAAAAACGACAAATTGTTTTATTTTCTTTGCAAGTTTGCGTATTTCCATGGTGCAAAGCGCTGCTATTATGATTCTATTAAGTCCCGAACTACTCATAAAGAAATCTTGGTGACAAACGGAAGTGAGGATGGATATGAAATATTTCATTTGTCCATCAAGAATTTATTTCATTTTCATTAATTATTAAAATTTACCTCCTTATTTTGATTGTCCTTCAAATGCATAATCAACCTTGTCGAAGATATTTTGGGGCACAATTTGCTTAAAAAAATTTATCCATTTTTACTAAATAAAATAACAATTCTTCTTATTGAAGACGCAAATTATTGATAATAGAAAAGAAAAAAACTCAATAAAATTATTGGCTCTACTAAATGTCTGACTTCGTCTGGCATGTCTATCAAAATGGATCAAGTCATGCGTGAGTAGGCATATTATGCCTTCATTCACACCGGAATGATTGGCCAACAACTATTTATTTTTAATATTCTTGTCAGATAGACGCTACCACCTACTTACTTAAACTGACGCATTTTTATTTGCCTTTGCCATAGCTCATAACTCGATTGGTGAAACCGTTGACTGTCGGTGAATGTGCAGGCGGACATCGAATAGAAAATCGAAGAAAGAGTAGAAATGTTCTCATTCAACCCCGTAAGTAGATATATTTTTAAATTCCGGTTAAATTGATTAAAATCAATGCGATTTTACTTATCACCTAGTATATAAACCGAAGAGTGCCTTTTGCAATAGCCTAATAGTGAGCATCTATTGGGCTTGTAAGTAATATTAAATAGGATGATTTAGTCACAAAATGGAACTTTTGCACTGCTTTTGTGACATTCATTCCTGGGCTCTTTCAAAATTCACGATTTTTAAGCGAATTTTGTCGTGACACAGTACTGAGAGACTTTAATGGTTGAAAATATTTCCCAATTTTATTGGTGTGTTTTTTACTTAAAATATTATGTGCACGAACTTATCAAATATGTTACAGGGGTTTAAACTAGTAATGTAGCGTTAGAAGCTTTAGCTTTGACAGTGATGTCAATGTCAACTTAACTTTTAAAGTCTTTCGTGCGTCGCATGGAATCAGTAATGCTTTTGAAATATACGAATATAAATGCGTGACTTAGCCTAGATAGTAATTTAATCCATATGCTCACATTTATATGGCTAAGATTTGTAGTCACGGTTAATAATTATTACGTGGCCATAGTTTTTATCTTTGCAGCTATAAATTGCTCAAATCACGAGAGAATAAAAATTTATTTAGTATCCTCACTTACCAGATGTGCTGATCAAATGAATAAAGGTTTTGACGAAATTATTTTAGTAGGAAAAAAATAATTTTGGTAAATATTCGAAGACAGATTTTGACTGAACGGTATTAACAACAAAATTAAATTCGATGAACAGCTTTTTAAACTTGTTGCGTGCTAATTAAAAACATATCTTTTAAATTTGAATACAGAATTAAGGGAAATTAATTAATTGATGATATTGACAGCAGAATATGTGTTTAAAAATATTAAATTTATTAGGATGAATGTAAATCTGATTGTGAGTAGATTTGATAATAAAGGTATCCTCTGATTGTGTGTGTTGCTGGTATCAAATGAAAGATTCCTCTATTTTAAATACCTTCTTGAGATTCCTTCAAAGCCACATTTTCTTCCTTATTTTGTGATTTATGCGCTTCATTACTCACAAAACTTGATGGAACATCACAGTATTTATTTATATCAAAAGGTCATCATCAGCCCTTAAGTTGGCTTCAGGCTTCACAGAGGGGAAGGAACATCAAAGTTAAAAAAGTCGAGAGGGGGGGGGGGTCAGAAGAATGTTTCAAAGACGAAGGTGGAAAAAGGTGAGGTGAGTACTGTGATAGTGATGGAATATGACATACAGTGGGGTGATGGTAGTTTGAAGTCAGAAGTCAACTGCCGGTTTGTAGATCTTTAGCCGTATGACTAAACGTTGTCCAGAGTGCAACACGTGAAGGTAAGTCTATCGCACACTTCCTGGAACATAACTTTAGAAATTTCAGAATGTCAAATGCCCTTCTGTATATCTTGAAAACATCAACTTATTATCAAGTGGCTCTGAAATGCTCAATAGGCATACTTTTACTTTTAATGCTAGGTATCATTTAGGGACATTATTTAGCGAAATACAAGGTAGGAACCCAATTCGATAAACTTTAAACGGATATAAACATAGTGTTCAAATTATAAAGCATACCAATTATTCAAATACTTGATTATATTTAGCGATTAAATTTGTGGCAAGAATGCGAGACTATAGAAAAGACGGTGATGATAACCGCTAATAAAATTTCGTTGACAAAAACCTAACTTATTTCTAATACAATAAAATTCAAAAAAATATTTCCTAGTAATTTAGGATCTTTAATTCTCGAGTAATTTGTTCAATATTTATGAGCTCCGTGTACTTTTAATTACAATTTTTTCCACTGATAACTTATAGAATATCACATTTATTTGGTTATTATTTATTTAATCATTAAAACGATTATGATTTTATGAAGGAATGAAACAAACTTTATTGAAACTAGATTTGCCTTTTTGTTAATCTACGTGATAATAATTATTGGGCAAATTAAAGTTGACAGGAATAGTTGTAATTTTTCATAGAAGTTAACTTGTCAATCGAAATAATTATTTTTTTTCTTCTGAAAAATTAATGAGTCTGCTTTCCATTTGTAACTTAAAAATTCGAACAGTATGCATTGGGAAAAACTGACGTTACTTCGTAGAAATTAGAAACTATTAAAATCGTGAAATTAATTTTTTATTCAAAAAGAGAAAATAATTTAATTTTGCTATAATTTTTTGCCGATATATATCAAATTATCCATTATTAAATTATTATGTGAACAAATTGAGTTGGGGAGCATTTTTAACTTTCGAAATCACTTGCTGGAAATGACAATATTACAATATCTCAAAATTTCATATTTTATTTTGTCAAATGTGATAACATTATATGGTATATATTTGATAGTAAGGCATGGATCATAACTTTCATGTCGAAAGTTCTTTAATTTGAACGTATTTTTTCAACTTGTCACTGGAAATAATCAGTTGATATATGCTACTGTTAATCCTGAATTTATGTTAACATCATATGACTGCATTTAATTGAAGCAAGTTATGTGGCTAATTGTGTTTGCATTCTATAGGAATGCGAACATTTGGTTACCTTAGATTATGACGCACATTTGAATAGCATAGCAACGGAGAGTTTATTGTGCGTACTTTATGATTTTTGGCTTATAAATTTTAACTTAGTTCCAATCACTTAGGCAAATTCAAGTGAAGTAGTAGCCATTAACCTAAATAAGCTTAGTAATATATTTTTGCTTTACTGGCCTTCAACAATTTTTGTAAATTCAAAAACAAATTCAAATCTCTCTCCTATTTAGGCGAAACATAATAATGAGCATTAATGGTAAAATTGCAAACTGCACACCACATTCGTAAAATCACAGTTCAATTTTGAATTCGCGACAGTTAAACAGTTGATGCAAAAAAAATGCGACGTGCTCAATTTGTTTCAATTGCCAGATTTTATCTATAAAAAAATAATGATGCACTGCCTTGAAATAGACATCATACGCTAAAAAATTAAATACCAAATGAATTTTCCTGATCTGTTCGAATTTAAATGGGAATAATCTTTTATAGTACAATATTATGTTTAAAATGATTTAACTCAATAATTCTCAAAAGTACAAACAAGGTGTCACGAAAAAAACCCTACCGTTTGAAACATGTGACCCAAGTCAAGAACTTCAAACAAGCTTAATGGAATAAAGTATGGCAAAGAGAAATGTGGCTAATCCTCTCTATAGCCTTTATTCCCTGCATACCACGTTAATTTAATTTCGCAAAATTAATGAATTTGTGCCACCGAAAAATTAGTACTATTAACTACGGCATTGTTAACATTGTACTTTTAGCTGAACGGGCTCGACCGTACCTTACAACGCAGGATAGCGGGGATCAAAACGACTACATTAACGCTGTTTTCGTAGATGTGCGTGGTCTCTTTTCCCTTTTTTACAAATTATTTTTTTTCTAAATTGAGAATTTATACCACAGGGTGGCACGACTTAGATTAAATGTATCTTTTAGGGATATCGTGAGAAGAATCAGTACATTGTTACTCAATGGCCTTTGATATCAACAATCAGCGATTTTTGGTGCCTTGTGGTGGATTTTCAGGTCTCCGCAATTGTATTAATCCATCCCTACACCTACGGAGATGTGAGTTTCTATTAGGGAAAAACAAAGATTTCGAATATGATGTTAACAAATATACTGAAATATATCTACATATATATATTAGTAAAAATTAATATATATTTAATCATCTAACAGTAGAGCATGGAAAATCCGTCAGATATTTAATTAAAGTGGTACAGCGTTTTAACTTTTAAAACAAATTTCGTCCCATTGCTATAGTTTCCCAATGTCAGATAAAATTATTAATTAAAAGGAAGCAATAAACATAAAGGATCATTAATATTTTATCAAAGCTACTCTGAATAATAATTACTGCTTTCTTGGAAACACGATAAACTGACAATGTGCAAATCACTATGAGTTTCATAAATGCAGCACAAAAAATAAATTCAAATTTGAAATAAAATCATTTTATCAAATATCTTATTTTTTTCAAAATCTAAGTCTGAAATTTGCTGAATTTTCATAAATTTCCATTAAAATATGTTTATTCTTACTGTTTAGCATCTTTTTTTGATAATCGCAAAATATTAAACCTATTAGATCTATTTATTTAAATTTGTTAATAAACCTGTCACTTCGACTAATCCACATCTCATAACAAAGAGGAAGATTTTGAAGACTGGATCTGAAGGGATATTGTAACTCCACAAAATTTCATTATGTTTATTCATGATGAAAATATGTGGAAGGTCGGGTTATCTCAATTGAGCACGTGCAAATACTACTTAATTAAATGCGATTCAAGAACTAAGAGTATTTAATTTTACAAAGGGAAGAGGAAAGAATATTTAAATTCAATTTTCGCTAATAATAAACAAGATATGCACATTAATTAATCTCAACCGAATTGCAATTAGATTCACGCTAAGTCTAAAAATTAATTTCGGTAGGATAACTCAAATATTTTACCATTTTCAATTTTCTATTTTCAATTACTCAAACTCATGTATTATAGTTCAACCTCTAAAAGTAGCAATTTTATGAATGATATCTCCCAAAGCCGTTAAGGAAAGACCATTTAACTTTTGATGTTGTAATAGTTTGTTACGGCTAATATTCGCAAAAATGGGAATATTATTGAACGACTGTTCAAAGCAAAGGTTGGCTGTTCTGTCAAATACCCCCCCCCTCCTTCAAAAATATAAGCATCTTTATACATTTGGGTATTATGATTACTTTAACGTGTATGATTTTTTGTACTATGCATTGTAGCAAAAATATCCCGTATTCTGGCCATCAATAAAGACAGCCACACAGTCGTCAATTCACTACGGTCCCATTGGGTTGGAAATGCGCGAGGTGTACGAGGAGACGGATGTAATGCCAGGGGCTTTCCTACTCTCCATCAAAAAACGCGGCACATCAGCCTTTAATCCGGTACGTTTTGCCACTGCTCCATTGAATGGCAGCGCATTCGCAAATCGTTCCCACCACCCAACCCCAAACTCCACCCCCAACCCCCAATTGGCATTGCGTTTGTTTTAATGGATTATTAATGAATTGGTTTCACGGCGTACTTTGCGGGAAATAATAGGGCTTTCATTATTTAATCAAATGACAACTAATAATAACCTCTTTAGCTGTGCAATTATCAAATAGTTGTTAATTGATTTTCAATATTGGTAAATAAGTTTCAGCTTGTTTTAAATGATAATTCGTCTTCTTTTAAATTAAATTTTTGATCTCTTTTCAATGTTTTTAAGGATATAATAAAATGTTTTGTTAAATAATTATAAACAAAAGTAGAGTTTTACATATTCTCTTTTAACTTTGCTAGTTCTGGTGATCCGATCAATTCAAATTTAAATAAGCAATCTCAATTATTTTTTTTGGTTTGAGCAATTGAAATTCTATAAATGAATACATTCTAAATAAAATTTGATTTTAAATGAAACGTTTACCAACACGTAGCAACGATTTCATGACGCAATTTCTTTTAAAATTGTTAGTCTTTTAGTGCGCTGAATTGCATTTACTTTTTCTTAAATATTTTAAAACGATTTATGAATAATAATGATTTTGTATTTCGCTTTGGACACATTATGCAATGATATGACGCGTTTTCATGTCAACCAAAACATATGAAAATCTCATTTTTTATCTATCTTAGCTCAATTTTTCTCTACCTAAAATAAATCCTTTTCTAAACTTTTTTTGCTTATAAAAATATCACTACAATGGATAAGATGAAGACACGATTCTAAACCAAAAGTTGAACCAGCAATCACTCAGAAGATTGATTTTACATCATTTACCAATTTCTTAACGTCTATCTTTGCTAATCAGACATCATTGCTTTCAAATTGGATTGTTTGTAGTGTCCAAGGAAAAGAATGCGGAGAAACCGTTTAAATTAGTAATCGCAAAATTCTTTTGTTTTTTTCAACTTAATAAGTAATTTTGAAAGCTAAAATTTGGTAATGGCTTAACAAAATTAAATTATCTGATCATTTTACCTTTCAAAATCAAGTTTTCAAATGAAATTTACCATTTTTGATTGTCCTCTATATTCAAATAATTAGCAAGAATGTCTTAATGTACTTGTTACCTGATCAGGTGATCATTTATCTCAAAGTTGGATACTATCGAACATAATTCAATATTTTCTCTTTCACTATATACTGTGATTAAAAATAATTCGATAAAAAGAACATTCAAATCATTTTTTTATTATGCATGGATATTTAAATAATTTAGTTAAGAAAGGATTCTTTTCAAAAAATTAAGTTGATTCGTGCATCGAATCTATGAATTTTCTAGAACAGATAATATGAAATTTCGCTTCAATGAACTGATTGTAACTAGAGCACTCAAATGTTTCGTTTCGTGTTATCAGCTAACATAATAATAAAATTTCCCACTAAATCGGCTCTACTGATTTTAAATATAAATTTTCCATTTTAAAGTGCATTATACTTACCTTGAAAATATAGTAGGTTAAAATTTAATTTAAAATATAATTTATCAGCTTAGAAAAAATCTTTTCGTATTGTCAACAAACTTTTAAATCAAATGAACTGTGGCTGATGATTATTAATTTAGTTTTACAGGAGTTATGATTTTTGGAATGCCTTTAAGTTAACAATTTCTCAACTTTAATAAAACATTTTTAACTTTTATTCACAATAGGATTTGTGTTTTAAGGCTTTCCTTCGCGAATGGCGCTAAAACATTGAAAACCAAAAGCGGTTCAATATGAATCAAATTTAGTGAAAGTGAGAATTTATTATTCGGAAATAAATTTTTCAGTTTCTAATAATTTAGTTTAAGTTACTGCTTCTTTTTCGAAGCCCAAAAGTCCATTTGATAAAATTTTCTCCTTTAACAAGCTTGATGTTTGCTGTTACATTTCATCATCTACTCTGGGCAAAGTTGAGACAAAATGTTGCTATTTCGATATATTTTCAGATATTATGTGCCTTCAATATCTAATAAATTGATTTTATAAAAATGTTAGCTAATTCCGAAGTTATAGAAAGCCTCTAGAGTGATAATAGGTGGATAGATTGTACAAATTAGAGGTTCCACAATGGTTATAAAGGTATAATTACTTTGGGTATCTTGAACAATGTATTTTTTCTAAACAACACTAAATGGAATTTCTATGTAAAAGTCAAGATACGCGATTCTTGTGAATTCCTACTTTGCGTTATCAACATGTCGGAAAATCCGAAATGTCCACAAAATGATGTAAAACACAGTGAAATCTTTATTACCATTTTAGCAATAGAAGTGACAAGTGACAGAGTATCACAGGGAACTTGTTTCCTGATAGCATTAAATACAACAGTTAATTTAACTCTAGTTTTTTTGCAATTCTTTTTGTGTTTAAAGAAAATGTGCTTCGTTTGATATACCTCCCACCCCCACACACTCCAATAGCACTTCAAAGCGCTTAATTGGTATGAATCTGGAAATTTAAAACCACTTGTAGCATTTCAACTCGCAGAACTTACCTCCAGCATGCTCCAAACGAAACAGAGTTGGCTTTTGGAAATGTTGTCATGCAATCGCAGGAGAATTTGAATCCCCTCAATTAACCCCCAAGTTGTCTTGAACACTAACCGCCAGCCGCAATAACTCCTTACATTTTTCAAAATGTGATGGAGTCTATGATTTCCAAAATAGACAACTGCCTTTTAATGGCCTCGATCTAAAAAACCGATCAAAAATCAATAATTTTAATGATTAAATGAATGCTAAGCGAATTTTTCCTTCAGAAAAATTAATTTACTGAATTTTTGCGCTCTGTTCATACCTTGGAATTTCACTTTTCTGAACAATATAAATGAACTTTTAGATTTTCAGCAACAAAATTTTATTACCATCACTGTAATGATTGTCTGGACTTGGAATTCATTTATGAAAACTATTGTATCAGTATAGAAAGGTAGTTAATTTCAATGGTTCCAAAATATTCACCTGACTGCGTTGGATGAAAAATGGAGCGTTTTGTCTCTGAAATAGTTTACTCAGCCGTAAAATTTGCAAACCAAGCAAACGATTCTGTTCAAGTCATTTTAAAATAGTATTTTCTAATTTAAAAATGTTCCCATTTCCGTAAATAAAATTTTGGTTGGGATATATGTTCAATTTTAAAATGAATATAATTCTTGATTCATCCAATCTTCCGTTAAAAAAGCAAAATTTCTACTTAAAAGAAATTCTCCCTTTCTCCAGGAAAATTAATAAAATTAATTTTAAACTTGTGGATTCTCTCCAAGTGCTAATTAATTAAATTAATTCGAATGCATTTAACACTTTAATCCATACACTCTAGTTTGGTAAATGCAAATGAGTGTAGGAATTTCAAAGAAATGTCGTTTAGAAATTATCTAACCTCAGTAGGGTAAAGAAAAAAGATTTCTTGCCTTAAAAAGAGTATAAGGTCCGGAAGCAAATCTTAGAAATATTATTCTTGCATATTGTGGAGGTACCAATATTCTGTGCTACCATCAAAAATATGGTGACTACCTTAACGTGAAATTCCTGCCCTATAGAGCATGACTGTGGGAATAATTAAGGCTGTGCGTTAATTTATCAATGTTAAATTTCCTATTCACTTCAGAACTCGAAATGAATGTTAAAAGTAGAAAAACACAGATATTAACTCACTTTTAGAAACAGGTTTACATATCAAAACGGCGGTTGTCTTGGTGTGCTTATCAAGCCATCAGACAACTGTGAACCATAGGCCTAACCTTGTCATTCAAAACTTATTTATCAAACGACAGGCTTTGTGATAGTTATCATTAGCCCTTTACTGACTTTGGGCTTCACAGAGGTGAGGGGCATCAAAGTCACAAAAAGTGGAGAGGGGAACAGGAGAGTGGCTCACAGATGTAAAAGAGCCAGACAGACACAAAGGCAGAGAAAAGGTAAGATGATTACTGTGAAAGTGGTCGAATAAGACATACAGTAGAATCATGGTAGTTTGAAGTCAGAAGTCAACTGCTGAATGCTAGACTTTTATGCCGTGCGAATATGCGTTGCTCAGGGTGCACCACGTGGAGGTAAGCCAATCGCACACCCCAAAGGTCTTGAAAAGGTCACCATCATGTCCCTGCTTTTCTGTGCTTTATTTTACTTTTCGTATCCTCGCTGGTATGCCCAAATAAGTTTAGTCATTAATATGAATACGCATGATCAAATTCTTTAACATAATGACGAAGATGCTTAAATTTTCAATTAACTAGTTAATTCGATTACTAGCATGTCGTTGATAAAATTACCAAATGATCCTGAAAGCTTAAATATTTCCTTGGGACTGGATTAGGTTGCATATAACGGAAAAGTTAAAAAAAATTTTGTGTTATTTGAGTTCCGCGGATGTTGTTTCGAATTTAAATTTTTCAACGCCTCAAAATTCTTCGAAGATTGCATATTACGTTAAATATGTATGACACCTTTTGACCAATCCGAAGTTTAGTAACTCAATGCCGAGTTAACCAATGGCTGAAGGAAAAAAAAACTTTCCATAAATTTAAGTTATTAAGCATTCATGCTAAGTTTGAGTCGTAACTCTAATCGATCGAAGTTGTGCTCAATAACAAATACTATTCCAATATTCGGCAATACTTCAGACTTGCCAATTTTAATCGTTCTGCGCTGCCTTCAAAGATTGTTTTTATGCCAATTCTTTAACATTTTCAGTTTATGCCAAATCGAAATGATAATATCTGTCGGGATGTAATGCTTCTCACCACTAGAAAATGGCCTGATTCAGACATCCCAGTCACTTCTTGTGATATCATCGTTCAAATGGCCTACCTTGCAAGGGAGTGGAACTCCATGACTGACACCTCAAGTCCCATACTCGTTGTCAGCCAGTAAGTTGAAATTTAAATAATTCCTAAAATTAAAGCATATATAAATAAATATTGTTTTTAGAATTTTATCAACTTGTTTATTAGTTTACTCACCACTTTCTCAGCTTCCTTAATTTGCAAAAACACAAAATCAGACGGTTAAAGATGGAAAGGTTCTTCTTTAGTAACTTTGAACCCTCCGACAATAGTTTTAAGATTTACTCCGTTTATGTAAACTATTTTTCTTAAATCTAAAAGCGTTGATCTTGATGGCTCGAAAGGTGACTCATCACCTAATGACTTTGAAGTTTGCAGTGCTGGAGAAAGTATTTGATCCCACTGATTTTCCCTCTCTGTTTTACATCTCAAAGCAGGCATTAGCTAGTTCAGTTGCAGTGGTTCCTTTTTAGGCAGAATTGGCCCGCTTTTTGGTCATTTGTGAGTGGTAAAATACTTAAAGACGAAAAATTAGTTTTGAATTGTTAAAAGAGTGATGAGTTAAAGCCTGCTTAACTTAAATTGTACCCTTATTATAGTTCCGCTCCCTTCTATGTCATCTCAAACATTTTGAGCGAATTTGAGTGTACGATCGTTCAGAATTTATAGTCACCCCTCAACCCCCAAAAGGCGAACGAATTCATACGTCCAAATGCCTTGGTTAACTGCCAAATATAAATAGGTTGCTAACGACACAGATGGTAATCGATTCATTCATTTTCATATGAAACTACAAAATGTCATTTCCTGACCACTTAAATATAGGATTTTTGATATCCTAGTTGGTGAAGAATTTGAGGAAAACAATCCTAAGATAGACACTGGGTTCATTGTTTACACTCAAATTCGACTATATTTTTTCCTACGGATGAAATGCATATCTTTGCATTCGAATTAGGCTGCAAAATAAAGACACTGAGTTCAAATATCCTATTTTAAAAATTTTCTGCCCAGCCCAACCGTTCCATTTTCTTCGATTGCATTTGTTAATAATAATTGATTTTTGTTTAGCTCCTCCAAAAATATTCTTAAAACTATTTAATTGCGCACAATTGGATTAAAAGTAAGCATAAGGCTCTCTTTGTGGACTTATAGAGACGTCTGCCATCCTGGGTGAGAGAGATACAAGAATCCTGTTAGTACCAACCCCAGAAGACTGCAACAGAGGGAAGGGGGGGGTGGAGGAAGGTTGTGGGACAAACGTGGATTCATCACAATGTGGCTTGTTAAGGCAAACAAATCTAATTTGGATTCTCATCATATTTATTTATTTCAAATGGCAGGCGTTTTGATAGTTATCATTAGCTCTTTAGTTGACTTCGGGCTTCACATGGGGAAGGAACATCAGAGTAACAGAAAGTCGAGGGATGGGGAAGAGAAGAGTGGTTTACAGTTGTAAAAGAGACAGACACAAAGGCAGAGAAAAGGTAGGATGATTACTGTGGAAGTGGTAAAATATGACATCCAGTGGGGTTATTGTAGTTTGAAGTGAGAAGTCAACTGCCGGTTGATAGACTTTTTTGCCGTATGGGTATACGTTGCCCAGGGTGCACCACGTGGAGGTAAGTTT